AATCTGAATTCTTTGCTGTTTGAGGGGATCACCCAGCATCAGCCAAAGTGGTTCCACGTTGGTCCTCTAATACTCAGTTTAATTCCCTTATTTTGCCCCTCAGCACCCAGTGCAGCACACACAGCTCCTGACGGGCTGGCAGAGCCTGACCCAGACAGAACTGGACTTAAAACTGAGTTTAAGGCCAGGCTGGATGGGGTTTGGAGCACCCTGGCCTCGTGGAAGGGGGTTGGGATAAGCAGAGCCTTAAGATGCTTCCCAAACCAAATTAGTGGGATGATTCTAAGATTTATCAGGATTTGTTTAAGATTTATCAGGAGTTTGTTCCAGACCTTATCCCAGCTCAGGCAGGGACAATTCTAGGCCAGGCATGGCCTAAGTTAAGCTGGGTCTGAGCTCCAGCTGGTTCAGGGTTTGTTTTTCTGCCAGGGTGAGGCCAGGCCTGGCTTGGGGTGTCTGGGGGTCTGGCCTGGAGCTCAGTGGGGATTCCCAAAGAGCTGGGAATGATTCCTCTGGGATGGAAATTTGGGAATATTTGTGGGGTGTTTATGGGATCCCAGACAGGCAGGGGACAGCTCTGGGCCAGCCCAGCTGGGCTGGGAACAGCACAATCCCTGCTCCATCCCAATCCCTGCTCCATCCCAATCCCTGCTCCGTCCCAATCCCTGCTCCATCCCAATCTCTGCTCCGTCCCAATCCCTGTTCCATCCCAGTCCCTGCTCCATCCCAATCCCTGCTCTGTCCCAATCCCTGCTCCATCCTTGTCCCTGCTCCATCCCTGTCCCTGCTCCATCCCCAATCCCTGCTCCATCCCAGTCCCTGCTCCATCCCAGTCCCTGCTCCATCCCAATCCCTGCCCATCCCCAATCCCTGCTCCATCCCAGTCCCTGCTCCATCCCAGTCCCTGCTCCATCCCCAACCCTCCTCCACCCCAATCCCTGCCTGGGTCTCCCTGGGGTCTTTCCCCAAGTTCCTGGAAGGGGCAGGACCTGAGCCCCCACTCTGTGTCCTGCTTTAATCCTTTGGGATTCTCTGCTGGTCACAGCCTGGGAAGGGGCAATTCCCTCCCAGAGTTTGGGATTTGGGATGGGGACGGTGCTGAGCACAGCCTGCTGGGTCGGGGGTCACCGAGTCCTGTCCATCCCATCCTCACTCAAAGGAATTTTTATTTCCCTCCTCATCTCTGCTCTGCCACTGGGGAGGGTCCCAGAGGGAACTGGGAGGGGGCAGAGCTGGGACAGGTGACCTGAGCTGGGACAAAGGGATTTCCACACCCTGGGATGTCCCCATTCCCTGGGTACAAACTGGGACAGTTCCTGGAAAGGGGCCGGGAAGGCGGGGTCTGGCATTGGCGAACAACTCCAGTGAGCAGCACTTGGTTTTCAATTATTATTATTATTATTATTATTATTATTATTATTATTATTATTATTATTATTATATTTTATTATTATTACTGCTATTACTATTATTATTACAATTATAATTATAATTATTTAATGACTATAAATAAATATATCGATATAATAATAAAATATAATGAATATAATAAATGAATGTATTAATATATTATTATGTTTATATAATAAATAAATATAAAATATAATAATAAAATAAAAGTAATAAATACAAATAATACATTAATATATTTATATATTACTGTAATTATTATAATTATCATTGTATTTTACTTCATTCTCAATTATTGAACCTCCTTATCTCAACACACAAAATTTTTTACTTTTTTTTTTTTTTTAACTGTTTTTTACCTTTTTTTTTCCCATTCCAGGGCTGGAAGTGAGAAATGGGGACTGGACAAGGAGCTGGGTCAGGCTTAATTTCCAGCTGGGCTTAACCCCCCACCGGCTCAGCCCAGCCGAGCTGGTGTTTTTGGGTGAAGTGTCACAAAATCCATCGCTGCAGGATGAAGTCATGAGAGCCAAAATTCCCAGCCAAGCTCTGGGATGGAGGCAGAACAGCCTGGGAAAGCCGGGGGGCTCCAGCAGCTGAGCTGGGCTTTGTGCGGCTGATAAACCGGGACTAAACAAATCCCGCGTGAGGCTTGGGCAGAGCTCCCGCAGGATCTGCCCCGGAGAGGGAGCACGGCCGGGGGATGGACCCACAGTGACACCCCAAATCCCCGTTTGGGACTGGGAGCAATGTGGTGGCCATCCCAAATCCCCGTTTGGGACTGGGAGCAATGTGGTGGCCATCCCAAATCCCCGTTTGGGAATGGGAACAATGTGGTGGCAATCCCAAATCCCCGTTTGGGAATGGGGACACTGCAGCTGCCATCCCAAATCCCCGTTTTCTGTTTGGGAATGAGAATGCCACAGTTGCCACACAAAAAGTCTCCACTTTCTGTTTGGGAATGGGGACACTGCAGTGGCCATCCCAAATCTCTGTTTTCTGTTTGGGAATGGGAATGCCACAGTGGCCACACAAAATTCCCATTTGGGAATGGGAAAACCGCGGTGGCCATCCCAAATCCCCATTTTCTCTCTGGGAATGGGAATGCAGCAGTAGCCACACCAAATGCAAACCCTCATTTTCTGTTTGGGAATACTGCAGTGGCCACTCCAAATCCCTATTTTCTGTTTGGAAATGGGAACACCGTGCTTCTCCTCCTGGACTCCAGCTGCCAGCACAGCCCGTGGATTCCAGCTGAGACACCCAATCCCGGGGTAACTGGATAGGGAGCAAAAGCTGGGAGCTCCCGGGCCCCTCTCCTTGTCTGAAGTGCCAAGAAATCCCCTCCTGCTGCTGCTGCAGCCACGGGGGAAACGAGAAACCCGGCCAGAGACAAATCACCCTCACCCTCAGCTCCCAGAGTGGTTTTTCCAACATCCTGAACCCCCTCTTTCCACCCTCCTGAACCCCCTCTTTCCCACCTGCTGAACCACACCTGTCCCCTCTCCTGAACCCCCTCTCTCCCTTCTTCTGAACCCTTTTTCTCCTCTCCTGAACCCCCTTTCCCCCCTCCTGAACCTCTCTTTCTTTCCCCCCTCCTGAACCCCCTCTTTCCCTCTGGCTGATCCTTCCCCCTGCAGAGAGGAACCTCGGGCAGCTGGGAGGGTGGAATTTTGCTGGGATTTCCCTGGAATGCCGCTGCAGAGCCGGACTGTGCTCAGCTCAACTCATAAATTACACAGAGCACCTCATAAAGAGACCTTCCAAAACTTCCCTAAAAGAGGACAAATCAATGAGTTCTTCATCCTGCTGGGAGCATTTCTCATCTCCCTCCACTAGGAACAGCAGAGGGCTTGGAAAGGCAGGAATTTTTTGATCAGGGAATGTAAAGCAGTCGGGAAATAACCTGGGTTAGGCTCTCAGCACACAAAGGGAACAGACGAATTTCCACACCGATATCTTGGCCCTCACATGATTAAAAGCCTCGAGAAAATGGGAATCTCCCCTTCCTGGGGGTGCAAAGCTCTCTTTTCTTCAGGCCTGACAGATAAAGGATCCTCTCTTTCCCACACAAAGGACTTATGGGCTCAGGGATATCTGTCCCCAGCCTGAGCCTGGGGGCAGGGGAATTTGGGATTGGGATAAGCAGAGGAAAAGCCACGGTCTGGTCCTTTCAATGAGCCCCTGATTCTGCAGGACTGGGCAGGAGAGGATGAAGGGAAATGGAAATTGCAGGATGGCCTTCTCTGCGCCTGGGGCTCATCCCAGGCATCTCATCCCCGCCTTATTCCGTGGGGATAAATTGCACTTGGGATCATCTGAGTTAATCCCGGGCCCTGGCCCAGCTAACCCAGGCCTGCCTTTCAATCCCAGGCTGTATCCTCTGAGCCTGAGCCCAGTGCTCTCAGAAATCCCTTGTCAGAGGGATATCTGCCTCTTCCCCCACAAATGTCCCTGTTTGGAGCAATATCCAGCCCCATGCCAGGCACATTTCAATATTTTCCCATTTTGCCTTGTGCCAATCACATTTCAGTGTTTTCCCATCTAGCCCCATGCCAGTCAATATTTTAATATTTTCACATCCAGCCCCGTGCCAGTTACATTTCAATATTTTCCCATTCTGCCTTGTGCCAATCACATTTCAGTATTTTCTCATCCAGCCCTGTGCCAGTCACATTTTAACATGGTTTTCCCACTCACAGCCAAAAGTGTGGGGTTTGAACCATTCCAGAGAAGCTGCAAAGTTTCCCTCTTTCCACTGACACTCCGTGTTTGTTTTCACACCCAGCCTGCTGGACCTTAACCTCCACACCCCCTGGTGTCCCTGTTTGTTGGACTCCTCTCCAAACCCCTGCAGCTTTTCCATTCCAGGTGCCCACCTCGTTTCTCCTCCTCATTCCAGATTATTTTGGTTTCCCATCCTAAATGAACTGATTCCTTTGAAACAACTGCTGCCCTTCACTTGACTCCATATCCCATGAGTGACCGAGAGTGGAAAAATCGGGATTTGGTGTCCCTCAGGATAAGGACAAGTCCTGGCTGCTCATTTTCAGTTCCCCTTGATAACAAAGGTGAGCTTGGAGACTCCTTTCCTCCTCCACAGCTCACCCATGCCTCGTGCAGGATCAGCAGGATTGTCTGCACAAGTTTCCCCAAATCAAGCCCCAAATCTCCATCTCTGAGCTCAGCCAGACCTGGAGGAGCTCCAGGCTGTGCCTAAATCGGCCACCCAGGATGAGCTGGAGTCCACCCTCAGGTGTGCTGTCCTTGGGGTCACACCGAGCACCAGAGGCACCCCCCCTGCTCTAGGGTGGTTGTGGGGGTGCTCCAGGTGTTTGGGATCCCGTCACCCCAGCCTGGCTGTGGGAATGACCAGCGCTGGGCTCACGACAGAGCTGCTGCTCATTAACAAACCAACAAAATGCTCTCCCCACAGCAATTCCTGAGCACAACAACAACAACCACACCAACAACAACCCCAGCCACACCAACCCCAACAGCCACCATCGCTCCGCGGCGCCGGCTCGCCGCGACGTCCCGGAGTCGTCCGCGCTCGTGGAACGCGAAGAAGGCTGGAAACGGGCACCTACCTGCGGGGACAGGCCGTTGCTGACGGGGTTCATGTGGTTGGCGGGGGCTGTGGCGTTCATGAAGCTCTCGGAGTAGCTGGAGAAGCTGTGCCGGGCGCCGTAGGCTGAGCCGGAGTCGGCGGCGGCGGCCAGCCCGCCCTGGTGCATGGTGGAGGGTGGCAGCGGCTGCGGCCGGTGCACGGTGCTGCCGCCGTCTGCGGGGACACAGGGACACCAACGGGCTGGGATCCCCCCGGAAACCCCGGGAGACTCTGCGAGATCCTGGGAAACCCCAGGAGACCCCCGGGAGACCCTGGGAGACCCAAGAATGGCAGCTTGGCCATCCTGGGACCCAGCAGCTCCATGCTTGGCAGAAGTCTGGGTTTTGACTTTGTTTCCCCCCCCAAAAAAAGCCATGAATTCCTTGGGAAAGGCCAAAGGCAGCTGGAATAAACAATACCCCTTCCACTGGAATATTCCTGCTGCTGAACCCCGGAACAGAGATTTACCCAGAATGAGGTAAAACCCACACAATCTGGGTAAATAATAAATAATAAATTGGGTAAGTCCCCAATTTACAAGGTAACTAATAAACAGTAATTAACAATATTCCTTCTGGTGGAATATTCCCACTGCTGAACCCTGGAATGGAGATTTACTCAGAATGAGGGGTCACCCACAAACCCCCCAATTTACTGGGATGTGCTCCATGTCCAAAACTCCAGCCATGGGACACTGGGACACAGCCAAAGGGACGTGGGATAGAGGGGAAAACAGAGGAATTTCTATTGGCTTGAGGAAAAACCCTGATTTTCCCAACTAAACAAAACCCACAAGAGGCTCCCAAGTGTCCCAGGATGTCACAGACCAGAGCGGCCCAAGGAGAGAATCGCGGGGTGGTTCGGAAAGGACCCCAAAGCCCCCAAACACCGCCCAGCCCGGCACAGGGGAGGTGGGGAAGGGCAGCAGGGGGCTCACCTTGGGAGATGGTGGTGCTGGGGTAGGAGGAGTCGGGCAGCTGGTACGGGGGCAGCGCCGGCATTCCCGTGGGCGGGAAGCCCCCCGGCAGCAGGTGGTTGAAGGCCGCCAGCTGGTTGGCTCCCGCCTGCTTGCGCCAGCGCGCCCGCCGGTTGCTGAACCACACCTGGGGGACAGAGAACACCCTGTGGGCGACACCTGAGCAATGCCTGTCACACCTGGGGGACAGGAAACACCCTGTGGGTGACACCTGAGCAATGCCTGTCACACCTGGGGGACAGGAAACACCCTGTGGGTGACACCTGAGCAATGCCCACCACACCTGGAGGGGACAAGAAAATCCCCACAGGTGACACCTGAGCTCTGCCTGTCACACCTGGGGGACAGGAAAGGCCCCACGGGTCACACCTGCCTGTCACACCTGCTGGCAGCACCTTGTGGCCAAAGCCAAAGCCAGGCTCGAGCTGCTCCTGGACCATGGTAGGTCCTTCACCCCCAGTGTGTGGAGGTGAATCCCCACCACCCCTCCTCACTTCCCTCTCCCTGCTGGCCCCAAAGCCCTGGTCCCATCCCTCCCAGGATTTTGGGCGGATGCTGCTCCCAGCCAGGGGATGGACAGGGGTTCACAGAATGACCAGGTTGGAAGAAACCTCCAAGATCATGGAGTCCAACCCAGCTCCAACCACTCCACTCAACCCTGGCACCCAGTGCCACATCCAGGCTTTGTTAAACACACCCAGGGTGGGGACTCCACCACCTCCCCGGGCAGAACATTCCAGAACTTAATCACCCTTTCTGTAAAAAACTTTTTCCTGATATCCACCCTATATTTCCCTTGGTGCAGCTTGAGACTGTGTCCTGTGGTTCTGTCGGTGCTGCCTGGAGAAAGAGATCAACATCACCTGAGCACAGGCACCTTTCAGGAGCTGTGCAGAGTGATGAGGGCACCCCTGAGTCTCCTTTTCTCCAGACTGAGCACCCCCAGCTCCCTCAGGCGCTCCTCACAGGGCTTGTGTTCCCAGCCCCTCTCCAGCCTCGTTGCCTCCTCTGGACGCGCTCAAGCTCTCAAGGTCCTTCCCAAACTGAGGGCCCATACCCATGATGAGGTTTGTGTGTTCCCAAAAGTCCATCCCCGGGAGATGCCCCGCTGCCACCTGGCTGTCCCTGTTATCTGCGAGGCTGGGAATTCTGCCGGAGGATTAAGCGCCATAATAGCGGCACTGTTAGGAAGGATAAATAGCCAGATTAGCATCGTGCTCGCGGTGTTAGACAAGCTCGAGAGATAGACCCGCCCCGCAGGGAGTTCGGGGCTCGGCCCCTCCCAGAGCCCTGCTGAGCCTTGCCCCGCCTGCAATGATGCCTCAGGTTTAGATTTTATATTTTTCAGGTTCTGTTCTGCTTTAGTGTGTGAGTCTGGGCTTTATTTTACGGATGGGAAGTAAGGACACCGGGCAAACAAACCCCCGGAGCAGTCAGGATCAGCATGGCTTAAAGCAGTGCTCTTGTAAAGCTGAGTCACAGCACAGCTCTGCTCCCTCGCAAGTTGGGAGAGCAGCCACCAGCTCCCAGGAAAGAGATGGAGACTCCTCGGGATAACAGCCCTTAAAAGCTTCTCCAGGTTTTCCAGCCTCAGTGTTCATGGAATTGCACCAAGCTCGGTGCTGGCACGAGCCCCAGACCACTTTGCTCTGATGCCTCAGGTTTAGATTTTCTATTTTTCGGATTCTGTGCTGATATCTCAAGTTTAGCTTTTCTGTTTTTCACATTCTCTGCTGATATCTCAGGTTTGGATTTTCTATTTTCACATTCTGTGCTGCTCTAGTGTGTGGGTCTGGGCTTCACATCAGGGAATGGTGAGCTCTCTGCACAGAGCAGGGAGACAAAACAATTCCTGCTCCAGCTGGGACCAAGGACAAATGATCCAAATCTCAGGCCCAGGAGCACAAACAACGTGGGCTGAAGAGAGAAAAACAGGATGGGAAAGAGAGAAAAAGAGGATGGGACTTCATGGGCTAAAGCTGGAACTGGACAATTAACTCCAATATGCAAATGGAGCAGAACTGATACAAGTTTGAGACCCCATGACCGGTCATGCATTTTGGGACCAGTTTAGTTCATCTTGGGTTCATTTTGGGACCATTTTAGTTCATCTTGGGTTCATTTTGTGCCGTTTTGGTTCACCTTGGGTTCATTTTGGGGCCATTTTGGTTCATTTTGGGTGCAGCCCTGGCTGGGCTCTTGTGCTGCCCAAGGTGGATCCACTGAGGAGATCCTTTCCATAAATCCCTACTTCATTTTTTAGCTCTGTCCAGTCTCTTTTCTAGCTCAGCCTTCACAAAGCATCAGTAAGAGCTCTGCAGCCAGCCCAGAATGTGCTGCAGCCTCTGCATTAAAATAAACCCAGCCTAAATGCCGGGGCAAAGCTGGGCTCAGCTCTGCTACTTCATGGGCAAGTCTCCAGAGGATGTTTTGTAATTCCTGCTGCTCAACCCCAGAACAGAGATTTACCCAGGATTTGGGGTCACCCACACAACCCCCAATTTATGGGATGTGCTCCTAAGGGTATGGCAACCCTGGTATGTTTTATTGGGGGAAATCTCCTTGCTGTAGGGTAAAAAGGGCTGCCCAAGTGTATTATCAGGAGCAATCCCATTTCTGCAGGGTAAAAAGGGTTTCCCAAGAGTTTCACTGGGGAAAATCTCTCTGCAGAGCAAAAAGGGCTGCCCAAATGTTTTATCGGGAGCAATCCCATTTCTGCAGGGCAAAAATGGTTTCCCAAGTGTTTTATCGGTGGAAATCTCTTTTCTGCAGGGTAAAAAGAGCTGCCCAAGCTGTCTCGTGGGCTGGGTTTGCTCCATTTCACCACAGAGGGCTCTCAGGCTTGTTCTGTTTGGGGTTCACGAGGATAAGCTTTCAGGCCAGATGAGAATGCAGCTGCTGGGCTTTGGGAGGCCTCAAGAGCTCCAAAACACGATTGAATTTCACAGCAATGGGAAAAAACTGAGCAAAAATCAGGAGTGGGGGACCCCCCCCCTTCCATCAGGTTCCCAAGCTGCCCAGCCTCAGAGCAGGAGCTGTGCTTACAAAAGGGCTCCCACACCTTGGAGGCCAACCTCAAACTCCCTTCTCCAAATCCTGCTGAAAAACCCCAAACTCTCTTCCCCAAATCCTGCAGAACCAACTCCAAACTCCTTTCCCAAATCCTACTGAAAAAATCCCAAACTCCCTTCCCAGACACTGCAGAACCAACCCCAAACTCCCTTCTCCAAATCCTGCAGAACCAACCCCAAACTCTTTCCCCAAATCCCACAGAGCCAACCTTAAATTCTTTCCCCAAATCCTGCAGAACCAACCCCAAACTCTTTCCCCAAATCCTGCAGAGCCAACCTTAAATTCTTTCCCCAAATCCTGCAGAGACAACCCCAAACTCCCTTCCCAGACACCACAGAACCGTGGTCCCACAAACCCCATCAGGATCCCAATCTCAAAGTGAGCACATTTCTATCGAGTTCCCTATACAGGATTTCCCATTCTTGGGCATTGTTCTGACAGGAAAAGACAATTTTCACTCAGGGAGTTCTGCCTCCCCTTTGTGTCTGCTGGGAAGGGTCCCACGAGGGTTCCTCTCAGGTTTAGGGTTCCCTGGATCTGTTCCCCATTTCTGGGGTGCTGTGGGCTTGCTCTGGGGTTCCCTGGATCTGTTCCCCATTTCTGGGGTGCTGTGGGCTTGCTCTGGGGTTCTCTGGATCTGTTCCCCATTTCTGGGGTGCTCTGGGCTTGCTCTGGGGTTTCTCTGGGGTTCCTGGATCTGTTCCCTGTTCCTGGGGCTGCTCCGGGGTTCCCTGGATCTGTTCCCCATTTCTGGGCTTGCTCTGGGGTTCCCTGTGAGGTTGTTCTTGGGTGCTCTGGGGTTCCCTTGATCTGTTCCCTGTTCCTGGGGTGCTCTGGGGTCCATTTGACCAAACCCTATTTGTGGGTTTGCTCTGGGGTTCCTGGATCTGTTCCCCATTCCTGGGCTGCTCTGGGGTTCCCTGTGGGGTTGCTCTGGGGTTCCTGGATCTGTTCCCCATGTCTGGGGTTCCCAGTGGGGTTGCTCTGGGGTTCCTGGATCTGTTCCCCATTCCTGGGCTGCTCTGGGGTTCCCTGTGGGGTTGCTCTGGGGTTCCCGGACCTGTTCCCCATTCCTGGGTTTGCTCTGGGGTCCGTTTGAGCAAACCCCGCTCCCGGGCCCGCGGTGCCTCAGGCAGGCCCAGGCCCGGCCAGGCCCCGTTTCCTGCCGGTTTTCACACCGCAAACACCAGAAAGCCCCGGCTCCCTTCACGGTGTCAGCGAGCTCTGGGAGGCTTGTGGGGCCCTGGCAGCTCCTTGGCACCCAGCCCTGCTTGCCCAGAGCCCTCAGCAGGGTGACAGAAATGGGTCACTCACATCTCCTGAGCTCCGAGGCACCGGGGCCAGCGGGGCCGCGGCTCCTGGCACCCAAATGCCCCAAATCTGGGACAGGGCTGAGGGAGAGCCCTGAATGGACCCTGAGCACTTTGCATTCATCCAGCCCTGTCCACGGAAGGTTCTGGAAGCGGGGAGCAGCAGAAAGGAATAAAGAAATAACCTGAATAACCTTTTGTGCGCCCTGGTCATGCAAAGAGGATCCCCCGGCCCTTTTCTCGTCCTGCACGAGTGCAAATTCCAGTTTGGAATTGGGGCTGTGGGCTGCTCTGCTCCTGTCCCTTCCACTCCCACAGCTTGGGGATTTCTGGTGCTTAGGGAGAGAAATAAACCTTGTCTTTGCAGAGGAAAAAGAGAGAAAGAAATCTTGTCTTTGCAGAGGAAAAAGAGAGAAAGGAACCTTCTTGAAAAGGAAAACAGAGGAATCAACCTCCTTGCAGATGAAGAGAGGGAAATAAACCATGTCTTTACAAAGAAAAAGGAGAGACATAAATCTTCTCCTTGCAGAGGAAAAGAAGAGAAAGAAATTTTGTCTTTGCAGAGAAAAAGGAGAGATGTAAACCTTGTCTTTGTAGAGGAAAAGGAGAGAAATCTCTTTGCAGAGGAAGAGGAGAGGAATAAACCTTTCTTTGCAGAGGAAAAAGAGAGAAAGAAATGTTCTCTTTGCAGAGAAAAAAAGAGGAATAAACCTTGTCTTTGCACAGGAAAAGGAGAGAAAGAAAC